GCTTTGGGAGGTGCAGGTGAGGGGCCCTGACGCTTAAACTTCTTTAATTTCATGGTAAATCCACTTGTGTTTGGCACGCAGTCCAATGCCTGATATTTTGCAGACACTCATATTTTTTAATAATGTATATATGCATGAGTTAATGAGTTGCAGTTTGAGCAGCGGTCCCAACCTTTGTGGCACCAGGGACGGGGGCTTCTACGAGAATCTAATGCCTGAGGATCTGAGGTGGAGCTGAGGCGATGATGCTGGCTCTGGGGAGTGGCTGCAAAAACATAGATGAAGCTTCGCTCACTCGCCCGCCGCTCACCTCCTGCTCTGCAGCCCAGTTCCTCACAGGCCACGGACCGGTACCAGTCTGTAGCCTGGGGGTTGGGGACCCCTAGTTTAGATGGCTTGGATTTAAATCTGGGTGCTGCTACTTAGAGATTCAGGCAAGTCCTGTTACCTGAGTCTCATTTTTCCTTTCTGTAAAATGGGCATGATAATACCCTACTTAACTGATAAACGAATTATTTGCATCTTATGAGACTATGTATATATAATAAAGAACCATTCTGATCATTATTATTTCCCTTCATCCCCTACCCCAACCCCACACAGGCTGTTTAGACTTATTTTCATCATCGGTGCCAAACTGTATTCCCTAAACCACTTCACTTTCTTGTACTTTCATTCCTTGCTTGCAAAGGGGATCCAAGTAAGTGTGTGAAAGAGTCTGTGAAAATCTTGTGCAGGTACCTATAGCATCAGTAGTAGAGACAGCAACGTTCTTCTGTCAAGGTGAAACTCTTGATCAGTGATGGCAAATGTGTGGCAAGCATACAGCTGTTCCTCTTTCTTCCTCCCTGCGACCGTAGCAGCCACTGGTCATTTCCCAGCAGAACTGTATAGCACAGAGTCCCTTGCAACTGCATGCCCAGGCAACCATTAACAGGTGTTCGGCCTGACATTCAAGTTGAAATCTGCTTGACATCTTACCTGACGTATAGTAAAAATAGAACCTGTATGCCTAAAGCTGAACCATGGGCTTTTTTTTTTTTTTTAACGTACTTAAAAGGATCTTAAGTTGATGTTGTTTAGGCTTCTCATTTTATAGGTGAGAAAACTAACACCCAAGTAAGTGAAATGACTTGCCCAGAGTCCTAATAGCTGAGGTCATAGGACAGAGCAAGAGGTAGAAACCAGGCGCTTCGCCCTCAGCGTAATGCTATTTATTACGCCCACCCCCCATCCTCCTACCTTTAATTTCCACTGTAATTTTAAACCAAAAATTCTTTGGCTTTTTAATGGCAGTGGGTTTCTTCCTCTTGAGTTAATACTGAATTCATAACTGGAGACAGAATGGGATTTAGAGTAGAAAGACCTGAATTTGATTGCCTCTTACTTTATAAATTTGATTGCCTCTCACTGTATGAATTTGGGCAAGTCACTTAACCTCCGTTTTCTCACTTCTAAAATAGAGTGAGTAATAGCAGCCTTATAAGGTTGTTACTCAGACGAAGTGAGAAAAGGTATGCAGATACCTGCATAAGCGTGAATTCTTTTAGTTGCAAATAACAGTTACCTAGTAATGTAAATTAGCCTGAGCAAAATGGGAAGGTCTTGGCTCATATCTCTGGAAAACACAGGATGGAACTTCTTTCTGTAGCTCTTACCCACGAAACCCCAGGAGAGGGCTCTAGTTTCTGTTGGGATCCTGAACCCTCATTATGGCCTCAGAGGGATAAGGTGGCCAAGTCATACGTCCACTGTAGCAGGTGGGTTGGCATCTATGACGGTCGCCCTCTCGGAACCTTGGAAAATTCACTGCTGTGTCTCGGAGTGTGGAGTGAGGGATGTTGGACAGGCAGATGTGACAGGATGTTCTCCACGGTGCCTAGCACGGTGCTGGCCATGCCTTCGCCTTACCTGGCAGGTCTTCAGCGCTGTGGGGACTGAGAACTGGAACTGGGAGTTTGTAATGACAGACTTCGGGTGTGGGAATGTGTCTGGAGGGACCTCCTAGTGGCGGCTCTTCATTTCCTTACTGCCTCATCAAGGTTACGGGGGCCAGGGAAAGCACCATGCAGGAAAGCGGGACCCCTCTAAGTGGCCAACCTGTCCAGGGGCAGCAGAGGCCAGTGAAAAGCACAAGACTCCCGGTGTGGTAGCCTCAGACCTGCCACGTGATCTCCCTGGGCCTCAGCGTCCACACTGGCAAAACGGAAAGCGCAGACCAGACAGCTGCAGTGATACTTTGTCAAAGATATTTTGATTACATATCAGATCATAGCGACACTCATTTGTGGGGAATCTATTTTCACATTAGGCATGCGGGTGAGATTTTCTTTGTTTATTATACGTTGGTTTTTTTGTGAAAGCTGAATATCATTTTATTAAGGATTGATTATCTTGAGTTCCTGGCTGAAATCAGAGCTCTGACAGTGACTGGAAGCCAGACGATCTGGTTCCCGCCGCCCTCTGACGTCACCTCTCTCTCTATTTCCACACCCTCGCCTCTTCGCCTTTCTCACATGCGGCTGGTTGGCCCGTTGCCGCCTCAGGGCCTTTGCATTTATTGTTCCTTCTACCTGGAACACTTTTCTCCGAGTCCACATGGTTTGATCTTCAGGTTTCTGCTCACAAGTTGCTTCAGCGAGACCTTCCTTGACTGCCTTGTACAAAGTAGCAGCCTTTTTCTGTCCCTTACTCTGTTTTATTCGTTTCGTTATCTAATATATCATGTATCCATTTATTTATTATTTATCCATGAGAGTATATGCTTCATGAAAGCAAAGACTTTGTGTTGTTTACCACTAGATCTGTGGGTTCTAGAGCCGTGCAGGGACGTGGGTACTCAGATGCTTCTTGAGTTAAGGAACGTTGATCTGCTGTGTTGCTTTGCTTTCGGTGTTGGAGCTAGTCGATCTCTGCCCAAGGCTATTTCCAGTTCTAGGAATGTGTCACCCTCACATGGTTCCTTAATATCACACAAATACATTTACACTTAGCGCCGTGTCTGGAGTAAACATTAGAGAAACAGCAGCTTTTATTTCGTTAAATTTGTTATTTTGTTGTTAAGATTCGGTTGCTGCCTGAGTCTAGCGCAGGAGCAAACGCATAAGCAGCACAGCTCCGGATGACTGAGTGACAGACAGCCTTAGACTGATCCCACGTGGCCTCGGTTTTCTTCGGAGACACAGCTTGTCCTGCGTGCCAACTCTGGACTCTAAAGGTTGAGCTGCGACCACCTGGGTTATTATCCAGAGTAGCTGGAAATTAAGTAAATCCTCCTTAAATGGGGTTTCAGTTGAGGGAGTGTGGTTTGAAGAGGCATATCAGGCAACAGGTGCCGGGGACTGGTGAGGAGCCAGAAGGCCAGGTGACAGGACCAAACGGGACAGGAACAGGTCAGGAAACTGTGTAGGTTTAGGCTACAGGTTTCAAACAGAGCATGAGCGTGTTGTGTGGATGGACTGTGCTTCTGAATTGTTCCCAGGATTTATTAAGATCTCAGCTTTTGAAATTATATTCAATAATTTATTCCATCATCCCATAAGCATTGAACGCCAGATGTGTCAGGCATTGTGAGGACACACAAAACTGTGAGACATACGTCCTGGCTCTTTGAAACTACGGATGAAGGATAACTAAATCTTTTTGACGGAGAATCAGTGGACACCTCAGAGAGAAAGTGACAGTCAAATTGGACCTCTAAGGACGAAAACCGTTGCCCCAAAGAGGGGGCAGAGTCCGTTCCTAGCGGAGGGCAGAGTGTGCCAAGGCTCCGATACCATCCGCAGAGTGACTGCGGGGAGCCCCTCTCTGGAAGAGGCCTGGGTGACGGTCGGAGTGGGAGACGATAGGGCTGCACCAGACCGGGCTGGAGCACAGCCCCACATTAGGGTAGGGCTGCCGAAGCGGGTCTCCTTGGGGTGATATTTTAAATAAATTCTTCCTGTCCAGGGTCTGGTTCTGCCTCGAAGCTTGAGGACCAGATTTGTCTACATTTACAAGGACAGGTAGCAGCTGAGCTCACCTCGACTTGTGTAAACGTCGGAATACCAGTTGGTTCATTTACTCTGAACACCGTAATACTCGGGGGAATACAAATTT